TGTGTGTGTGTGTGTGTGTGTGTGTGTGTTGTGGTGTGTGTGTGTGTGTGTGTGTGTGTGTGTGTGTGTGTGTGTGTGTGTGTGTGTGTGTGTGTGTGTGTGTGTGTGTGTGTGTGTGTGTGTGTGTGTGTGTGTGTGTGTGTGTGTGTGTGTGTGTGTGTGTGTGTGTGTGTGTGTGTGTGTGTGTGTGTGTGTGTGTGTGTGTGTGTGTGTGTGTGTGTGTGTGTGTGTGTGTGTGTGTGTGCTGTGTGTGTGTGTGTGGTGTGTGTGTGTGTGTGTGTGTGTGTGTGTGTGTGTGTGTGTGTGTGTGTGTGTGTGTGTGTGTGTGTGTGTGTGTGTGTGTGTCCCGTCTTCCCCCGTGGGTAGACCTAGTCCTGTCACACTAGCACTTTTTCCGTCAATTTTTATTTTTTTTACAATTTTCTGAAGTTTTGTCCATTTTTGAGCGAATTGTCGATTCTCCAGTCAGACGACAATGACCGTTTCCGTCTGAAAACCTTTCCGTCAACTTTTTCAGCCAAGCAAAGTCAAATCAAGATCTATATTCGAGAATATTTGTATCTATGTTAAATAAAATTGTCCAAAAATTGACGGAGAAAGTGCTAGTGTGACACGGCCCTTATGACAACTCCAACTGGGTGGTGTCAGTGCCTGCCAACCGTCAAGAATTCGTGTAAGTGCTTAAGTGTAAGTGTAAGGGGCTTAAGTGGCGCAGGCCGGGAGGAAGAGCGCGGGAAATGAGGCATCGTCCGAATCCCCTTGTTTTAATATCATCATCATTATCATTGAGGTTTTCACTTTGTCGATCTTCATAATTTTATTGTCCTTCATTAAACGCATGAATCATTTCCTTTTGATTTTCCTAATTCTGTCCTTCGTTTATATTATTGCATATTGTCTTTGCATTCTTTTGATTTATATTTCTCTGTTTTTTTCTTCCCTTTCACTAAATCATAAATTTCTTATTTGATGGAGAAGTAATTAAGTTGATTTCTCTTTTGTGAAATGATTACTTTTTACCAGGAAATGATTAACTGTAGAATATATATAGAAATTCTGAATCTCAGTGAAGGTAAGAAAATATGATTGAATAAATAAGTATGCGGTAATAATTTAGAATAATGAATTGATGAAAGAGGGAGAGTAAGAAGAAAATAAAGTATATATGTAGATTGCAGATTATCTGGTGCATTTTTATGTAATATATGAATTCTCTTCACTTAAAGCATGAACGTTATAAATCTATATCTATAAAATAACAAATAAATAACAAAGAGGTCAATAAAAACGTAAAATTCAAAGCTCTTACGATTCTTACAAACATCACTTAAAATTAATATATAGATAAAAATACTAAAATTAAGTCAAAAAGTCATTTCAGGTATTTTTCGAAAGTCGACGTTCGGTTCCCAGCAGCGGGGGAATCGGAGTCAAGGAATCTGGCGACATGGCGGGAGAATTGCCTTATCGCTTCATGAGGCCAAACTTGAGAGGTAAAAATTAAAGTGAAAGATGACGTTAAGTGGTTGCTCTTTGTCCCGCGCTATCTGTGCGGTGTGTCTGGCGTGCCTGGCTGATAACGGGTATCGGGAATTCCTTACTAAGAAAATTCGGGGCATGTTTTTTTTTTGTCGTTTTCTCTCTTCTATTTTTGGCGGGAAACTCCATCGTGCTTTTAGCTTTTGGGTGTCTCTTTCGGTGTTTTTTTTTATTTGTTTATTATTATTATTATTATTATTATTATTATTATTATTATTATTATTATTATTATTATTATCATTATTATTATTTTTTTGGGGGGGGGGATGAGGGAGGATGAATAACTTCAAAATTGAGAATATTAATATAAGGGTGATAATGATAACGATGATAATACCGATTTGATAACGACACAAAAGATAAAACTGATGTGATAATGATTATCAAAATGAGAATGGATGGACCCTAAAAAATTTACAAGCATTAGTAATGATGGCTAAAAATATTGAATGGACTTACACCAACGCATGATATATTTTTGTAAAGTTAATTATTTGTCTCTTTTTGGAATATAAGGAACAGCTCTTAAAAAATCGCTCGATACTGAAACATCGCAATAAACATAGATAATAATAAACATAGGTCTAAGATTATAGAATGACCTTGATGATTCCCCAATCAAATAAATATCTACTATATCGGATTCTAATCATGACTATTGCAATCTGTAGTTTTAGCAAGATCAACTGGAGCTTAAATGGCACGAGAAGATATCACAAAAATAAGAAAAAAAATAACTTGCCACAGGCTGCAGTGTCTTGGAAGATGGAGGTAAATTTACATCAACAGAAAGAAAGGAAGGAAGGTGGTCTGTGCGAGTTTCTGTCATCTTATAGATAAAGATGTGTGTGTGTGTGTGGTTTTGTTTTGTGTAAGTGTGTGTTCGTGTGTGTGTGTGTGTGTGTGTGGTGTGTGTGTGTGTGTGTGTGTGTGTGTGTGTGTGTGTGTGTGTGTGTGTGTGTGTGTGTGTGTGTGTGTGTGTGTGTGGTTTTGTTTGTGTGTGTGTGTTTGTGTGTGTGTGTGTGTGTGTGTTGTGTGTTTGTGTGTGTGTGTGTGTGTGTGTGTGTGGTATGTGTATGTGTGTGTGTTCGTGCATGTGTGTTATGTGTGTGTATGTTTTGTGCATGTATTTGTATGTGTGTGTGTGTGTGTGTTTTGTTTGTGTGTGTGTGGTTTTGTTTGTGTATGTGTGTGTGTTCGTGCATGTGTGTATATTGTGTGTGTGTGTTTGTGCATGTATTTGTGTGTGTGTGTGTGGTTTTTTGTTTGTGTGTGTGGTTTTGTTTGTGTATGTGTATGTATTCGTGCATGTGTGTGTATGTGTTTTTGTGAGTATGTGTGTGTGGTTTTGTTTGTATATGTGTGTATTGGTGTTTGTTTGTGTATGTGTGTGTGTTTGTGCATGTGTCTTAGTTCATTATGCACTCAGCCCCTGTGGCCCTAAAACTTGGACCGCAGGGGTAACTTGACAAGAGGAATAACATAGCCCGGGTGACGTCAGAGCAGGGGGCGTGGCTGAGAGTGGGCGGGGCAAACCTTATTAAGTACAACCTTGAACAGGAATTCTAAATAAACCTAAAAATATGTTTGTTAAGGGTTTAATTTGATACGAGGAGTGACAGAAAAGATGGCATCAGGTGGAGCAAAATCTTTTTCCTTATTAGGTAAAATTTTACCCCCCAAAAAACCGTGACTTAAACTTAAACTTCAGTGTTAAACTTGGATCTGCGTATATAGCTTGTGTACAGGGATGTAGTTCCAGAAATATACCTTTAAATCGAATGATATACTGTTGGTAGTTCATGTTTTGTTCTTTGTACAATTTGTTCATATTCTAGTGAACAAATTTCAACTCAGACACCGTTGGGTACTTTCAGCTCTTACTGTATATGAAATAAGTTTATCAATAATAACATTTCGTAGGAAATATAAAAAAAATCAGATACGTATTTTTTTTAGTACTCATTTCAGTCATAATTTTTAATAGCTACATATTTCTTTACTTTAATCAATCATTTTCGTTATCATTGTTATTATCATCATTATCCTTATCACCATTTACGTTTTTTTTTTTTTTTTTTTTTTTTTACTGATAAATACATTTTATTGTTTCGTAGTTTATTGATTTTTCTCTGGAGATATATTTAGTGTCATTATCTTTGAAAAATATTTATTGATAAAGCCTTTTTTAACTTTACTAAATTACCAAATGCAATAGACGTTCCATCTTGGCGCAATCTCTTCATATAACTTATTATATTCTTTATTATATTATTAAATAATAATTCTTAATTATATATAGAATAATTATTATATTTATATATAATATTTATAATTTTATTTATTATATATTTTATTTATATTAATTAATTATAATTAAATTAATATAATTAAATTAATGAATAAATAATAATAATCAATATACATAAATAATAATAATTAATATATATAAATAATAATTAAATAATAATATAAATAATATTATTCTTTAGAACATTTAAAATCAAAGTATGGAAAAGTGTAAAGCAATCACGATATTTATTGACCATTAAAGGCCTATGTATCGATCTGGCAACGGCACCTGAAGAGGGTCGTGTGTATTTCTCGTTGCAGGATAGAAATTGCGATAAAACAACTTCGATGATACGATAAAGCAACTTTCTATGTCCCTTTTCACTCCCCCCCTCCTCTCCTTCTTTTCTCTCTCCCTTTCCCCTATTCCTCCTCTTCCTCTTTCCACTTCCCCTTCCCTCTCTTTCCTCTTCTTCCCCTCTTATTTCCCCTCCCTCTCCTCCTCTCCTTCCTTTTCTCTCTCCCTTTCCTTTTCTCCCCCTCTCCCCCCCTCCTCCTCTTCCTCCTTCCCCTTCCCTCTCTTCCTCTCCTTCCTTTTCTCTCCCTTTTCGTTTCCTTCCCTCCTCCCTCTCCCTCTCCCCCTCTCCTTCTTCTCTCCCCTTCCACTCCCCCTCCCCCTACTCTTCTCCCTTCCACTCCCCCCTCCTCCTCCTCTTCCTCCTTCCACTTCCCCCTCCCCTCCCCCTCTCCCTTCCACTTCCCCCCCTCTCCCTCTCTCCTCTCCCCTTCCACTCCCCCCTCCCTCTCCCTCTCCTTCCTTTTCTCTCTCCCTATCCCCTTCCACTCCCCTTCCTTTTCCCCCTCCACCCCTCTTCTCTCCCTTCCACTCCCTCCTCTCATTCCTCCCCCCCTCCCCCTCCCCCTTTCTCGAAGACGAATTCATCGCCTTCACGCCTTCCATCTCACGCCATCTTTCACCCCTTAAATGGTGCTGTGAGAAGGGGGAGTGGCGGGGCGGTAGCGGGGGAGCGGTGGTGAGGGCTAGGATGGTAGCGAGCTGTGGTAGCGGTGGCGCGGTAGCTGTGTAGCGCGGTCGTTATCAGTGGTGGTAGCGGTAGTGAGGGTAAAGGATGGTAGCGGTGGCTGTGGTAGCGGTGGTAGCGGTCGTATCAGTGGCGGTGGTAGCGGTAGTGAGGGTAAAGGATGGTACGGTGGCTGTGGTAGCGGTGTAGCGGTCGTATCAGTGGCGGGTGGTAGCGGTAGTGAGGGCTAGGATGGTAGCGGTGGCGTGGTAGCTGTGGTAGCGTGGTGAGGGTAAAGATGGTAGCGGTGGCGTGGTAGCGGCTGGTGGGTGCGGCGGTGTGGGTGTAGCGGTTTTGGATGAGGCAGCGTGGGTATCTGTGGTAGCGGCGGGTCGTGTAGCAGTGTGGGTGGTAGGGGTGGCTATGGTAGCGGGAGTGGACGAGGCAGTGTGTGTAATCTTGGTAGCGGTATCAGCGGTGGCGGTAGTAGCGGTGGTTAGTGGAGCAGTGCGGGTGGTAGCGGTTAGTGGGTGCGGCGGTGTGGGTGTAGCGGTGGCGAATGTAGCGGGGGCAATGGTAGCGGTGGCGATGGCAGCGCAGGAAATGGTAGCGGCGGCGATGGTAGCGGAGAAATGGTAGCGGTTGTGGGGTACGGGCGGTGTGGGTGGTAGTGGTGGCGATAGTAGCGGTTAGTGGGTGCGGCGGTGTGGTTGGTAGCAGAGGAAATGGTAGCGGTGGCGATGGTAGCGGTTAGTGGGCGCGGGCGTTGTAGGTGGGTAGCGGCGGCGGCGGCGTTGATGGAAGCGGCAGCGGTAGTGAGGTGCGGTGGGCGTGCGGGGGTTATCGCGCCACATCGCCGCTCTAACGGATGGGCGGCGCTGGGGGAGGCGGGAGGGGGGGCGGGGGGAAGGGGGGGCGTTGGTCAATCCACCTCCCCCACCCCCCCACCCCCCACCCCGGCCAGGTCATCGATAGCGTGCATGTATGTCAAGGGTCAAACACACACGCACACACGGGGGCTTCCATAGACAGACACACACACGCGCGTATACAGACATGGGAGGCTGTACCGGTCGCTGAGGTCGGTTATTACTGTTCACATTATCCATCTCTTTCTTTCTTTCTCATCTTTCATTCTTTCTCTTTTTAGCTGTCTTTCTCTTTTTTTTTTTTGCCTTTTCTCCCTCTCTCCATTCTTCCCTCCTGTCTCTTTCTCTCTTTCTCTCTCATTTTCTCTCTCTTTCTCTTTCTTTCTTCTCTCTCTCTCTCTCTCTAACTCTTTAACTCTCTCTCTCTCTCTCTTTCTAACTCTTTAAATCTCTCTCTCTCTCTCTTTCTTTCTTCTCTCTCTCTCTATAACTCTCTAACTCTCTCTCTCTCTCTCTTTCTCCTTGTTTTTCCCTTCTTTGTCTTTGTCTGTGAATATCTTCCTCTCTCTTCTCCTCTTTCTCCTTTCTCTCTCCCTGCTTCCCTTCCTAATCGTAAATAAAACATCTTCATTTCCATCATGCCAATTCATTCCCATTTCTCCATACACCGCCAAAAAAAAACGAAAAAAAAACGAAAAATAAAAAATTAAAACAATCATTCTAGAATTTCGCCGCAAAAAAAAACGAAAAAAACGAAAAAAAAAAACACGAAAAAAACTAAAAAATAAAAACATTAAAACAATCATTCTAGAATTCCGAAATATGCGATACAGCTTATCAGTTCCGCTTATCAACGTGTCATCCGGACATCAGTCTGCGCTCCTATTCTCGCTCGCCACGGACACGGACCCACACTTGTACGTTAAACCCGATACACAGTCCGTCCTTATCGGTATACAAACACCTGTATAGATCCCTTGTCCCGTGCTCTGTGTGTGTCTGTTTGTTCGTTTGTGTTTGTGTGTGTGTGTCTGTTTGTTGTGTGTGTGTGTGTGATGGTTTCACTCTCTCTAGCTCTTTTTGTTTCTATATATCTGTTTCACTTTTTTTCCGTCGCTCTCTCTCTTCTCTTTCTAGCCTCTCTCTCTTTCTCGTTCTCTCTCCCTCTCTTTCTTTCTCCTTCTCTGTCTCTCTCTTTCTCGCTTCCTGTCTCTCTCTCGTTCATTGTTTCTGTCTCACTCTTTCTCTTTCAGTCACGCCCCTCTCTCTCCTCCTCCCTCTCACTCTATTTATCTATCTCCTTCCCTTTCTCACTCTCCCTCATCTGCACCCTCACCACTCATTCTCCTTCCCCTCCCCCCCAGCCTCTTCCCCCCTCCCCCACATCTTCACCTCCTCCCCATCTCCCCCCACAGCCTCTCTCCCCCCCACCTCCCACATCTCTTTCACTTCCCCCCCATCTCCCCTCTCTCCCCCCATCTTCTTCACCTCCTCCCCCTCCCCCTCCCCCCACATCTCTTCACCTCCCCCCATCTCCCCCACAGCCTCTTCCCCCCCTCCCCACATCTCTTTCACTCCCCCCATCTCCCTCGCACAGCCTCTTCCCCCCTCATCTTCTTCACCTCCCCCCCTCATCTCCCCCCCTCCCCCACAACATCTTCACCTTCCCCCCCTCCATCCCCCCCTCGCACAGCCTCTCCCCCCCTCCCCCACAACATCTTCACCTTCCCCCCCCCCATCCCCCCTCGCACAGGTAAAGAGGGGAGGATGACACAAGGACAAACAGGTGACTGCTGGGGCTGCGGTGAAGGGCGGGGGCATTGGGCAAGGGACAGCAAAGGTGAAGGGCTGACGGCAGGGGCTTGGGACGAGGAGGAGGGGTAGGTGGGGGACGAAGAGGGGGGACGAGGAGGGGACGAGGAGGAGGACGAGAGAGGGGGGGTAGGAGGGGGGACGATGAGGGGGGAGGGGACGAGGAGGGGGGACGAGGAGGGGGACGAGGAGGGGGTAGAGGGGACGAGGGGGGGAGAGGGGGACGAGGAGGACGAGGAGGGGGAGGGGAGAAGGAGACGGAGGGGTGAAGGGGCTGAAAAAAGAGAGAGAGAGAGAGAGAAGGAAGAAGAGAAAGAGAGAGAGAGGGACGGAGGGAAAGAGGGAGGAGAGAGGGAAGGAGGGGAGGAGGGAAGGAGGGAAAGAGAGAAGGAGGGAAGGAGAGGGAGAGAGGGAAGGAGGGAAGGAGAGGGAGAGAGGGAGGGAAAGAGGAGAGAGGAGGGAAGAGGGAGAGAAGGAAGGGAAGGAGAGGAGAGAGGGAGGGAAAGAGAAAGGGAGGGAAAGGAGAAGGAGAAGAGAAGGAGAGAGACAAGGAGGGAAGGAGGAGGGAGGGAGGGAGGAGGGGAGGCTTGAAGGTGGCTAAGGGTTGAAGAGGAGAGATCACGGTGAAGAGGGAGATGGGGGAGGGAGGGAGGGGGGGGGGGGAGGGGAAGGAGATGGCATGTCGATGATGGAAACAAGAGATAAAGAAAGAGAAAAGATAGAGATAGAGACCATAAAGACAGATGCTTAGAATATATATATATATATATATAATATATATATATATATATATATATATATATTATATATATATATATATATATATATATATATATATATATATATATGTATGATGTATGTACAATTGTATGCATGTATGTGTGCGTAAATGAAGATAAATAGATAAGTTAAAACGGAAAAGAAAAGAAAAGAGAGAGAGAGAGAGAGAGAGAGAGAGAGAGAGAGAGAGAGAGAGAGAGAGAGAGAGAGAGAGAGAGAGAGAGAGAGAGAGAGAGAGAGAGAGAGAGAGAGAGAGTGAGAGAGAGAGAGAGAGAGTGAGAGAGAGTGAGAGAGGAGTGAGAGAGAGATAGAGAGAGTGAGAGAAGAGATAGAGAGATAGAGAGATAGAGAGATAGAGAGATAGAGGAGATAGAGAGATAGAGAATAGAGAGATAGAGAGATAGAGAGATAGGAGAGATAGAGAGGAGAGATAGATAGATAGATAGAGAGAGAAGAGAGAGAGAGAGAGAGAGAGAGAGAGAGAGAGAGAGAGAGAGAGAGAAAGAGAAAGAGAAAGAGAAAGAGAGAGAGAAGAGAGAGAGAGAGAGAGAGAGAGAGAGAGAGAGAGAGAGAGAGAGAGAGAGAGAGATAGAGAGAAACTAACAGACAGACAGACAGAAAGAAAAAGTGAAAAGCAGAGAAAAGAAACACAAGGAAAGCCACCAGCCCGACATCCCGACATCCCGACATCCGACATCCGACATCCCGACATTCCCCGACATCACCGACGTCCGAAATCCCGACATCCGACAACCCGAAAATCCCGACATCACCGACATCCCGACATCTCGACAACCCGAAATCCGACATCCCGACATCCCGACATCACCCGACGTCCCGACATCTCGACAACCGAAATCCGACATCCGACAGCCCGAGAGAAAGCGAACATCCCGAAATCCACGAAATCACGACAGCCCGACATCCAACAACTCGACTTCCCGAAATCCGACACACCGACTCCCGACATCCCGACAACCCGACATCACGACATCCGACATCCGAAATCCGACATCACCGACAACCGACATCCCGACATCGACATCACCGACATCCGACATCCCGACATCCCGACATCCCGACATCACCGACAACCCGACATCCCGACATCGACATCCCGACATTCACACCCGACATCACCGACATCCCGACATCCCGACATCCCGACAACCCGACATCACCGACATCCCGAAATCCCGACAACCCGACATCACCTACATCCCGACATCCCGACATCCGACATCACCGACATCCGACATCCCCCCGACATCCGACAATCCCGACATCCCGAAATCCCGACATCCCGACATCCCGACATCCCGACATCACGACATCCCGACATCCCGACAGGACCGACAGACCGACAGCCCGAGAGAAAGCGAAAGAGGACTCGGCCGCCGAAGATCTCCCAAGATAAGAGCCCGACAAACACTTCCGGTAAAGCCCCCTTTTTATCTATGTCTGTTTATCTATTTTTTTTATTTTTTTTTATTATTATTTTACTCTTTTTATTGTATCTTGTTTTTTTATGAATATTTTTTTGTGGATTTTCTATGTCGCGCGTGATTTTTTTTTTTTTTTTTTTTTTTTTACGAAACTTGGTAGATTTTCTCTCTTTTTCTCTCATTCCTTCGTTTTTCCTTATTTTTTTTTATCTCCTTTTTCTTTTTATTCAACTTCTCTCGTGTCATCATTACCTTTACTCCATTCCTTTCCCCCTTTCTCCTTCCGTTCTTCTCGGTTTCCCTTCGCCTCCTTTCATCATCTTCCTCCTCCTCCTCCTCTCTCCAGTTTTCGCTTTAATTCTACCTCCTTTTCGTCATCCTCCTCCTCCTCTCTCCCATTTCGCTTTACTTCCACCTCCTTTTCGTCACCTCCTCCTCCTCCTCCCTCTCTCCCTCCCATTTTCGCTCTCCGTCACCTCCTCTTTCGTCGACTCCCTCTTCCCTCCTTCACCTTGCCCCCCCCCCCCCACCCCACCCCCCCCCCGAGGTGCGGCGGGTGTCATCCATCACGGCGAGTGTCATACGTCATCGCCAGGGAGGTGACACGGACACGCCGTCACCCGCCTCTGCCCCCTCCCTCCCCCCCCTTCTGTCCCTCCTTCTCCTTCCTTCTAATTCTCCTTCTTCATTCTCCATTCTCTTTCTTCTTCTCCCTGTCTTCCTCCTCCGCTCCTATCTTCCTTCTTTCTTCTTCTTCTTCTCCTTCCCTTTTCTTTCTTTCCCTTCTTCACCTCCTTTTCTTCCTTTCTCCCTTCCTCCCTTCTATTCTTTCTCTCCTCCTTCTCCTTCCCTCGTTTCTTTCTTCTTCTCCTTCTTCCTCTCCCCTTCTATTCTTCTTCTCCCTCGTCCTCTCCTTCCGCTGCTATTCTTCCTTCCTTTCTCTTCTCC